TTACCAAGAACCAGAGAAGAACGGAGTCTTCTTGCTAATAGCCATATGAATGAGCTATCTTGAAAGCGGATCCTCTAGCCCCAGCAAAGCCACCCCCAAATTCCTGATCCTCAGAAACTACGGAATAACGTTCACTGCTTTAGCCACTAAATTTTGATAAATTGTTATGCAGCAGTAGATAACTAATAAAGACTTGGGTAACATAAGTGTTACCACCCTACCACCTCAAATTGTAGGCATGGCTTTAGAACTGAGCAGTAGGTGGAAGCTGGAAGGACTTTTTTTTTTTTTTTAAGATTTTATTTAAAAGAGAGGCAGAGGGAGAAGCAGGCTTCCCGAAGAGCAGGGAGCCAGATGCAGGACTCGATCCCAGGACCCTGGGATCATGACCTGAGCCGAAGGCAGACGCTTAACTGACTGAGCCACCCAGGTGCCCAGCTGGAAGGACTTTGAGCAATATTAGGGAAAGCCTAAGGTTCCTTGAATAGATTATTAGAAGTCTGATAGCCATTAAGTAGCTGCCAGTAGTTGCTTCAGGGGAAGTGAGCAACATGTTACTGGCAACTGGAGAAAGGTGGTTGTTACTCAGTGGCAGGACATTTAACAACACTGTCACCTACAGTAATGTGGAAGGTAGAAAATTTAACAAAAGAACCGAATAACCTAGCTAGATTTCCAGTCAAAATGTTGAAGTTGCCGCCTACCTTCTTCTTGCTGCTTATAATAAAACGTGAGAGGAGAGCAGCTTAGAAGGACTGCTACAAAAGATCCAGCAAAATGGTGCAGCCACTTTGGAACCCAGTTTGGCAGTTTCTTACAAAACTAAACATACTCTTTTCCTATGATGCAGCAAGTGCTCTCCTTGGCATTAAGCCAAAGGGGTGAAAACTTATGTCCATACCTGCACATAGATGCTGTAACAGCTTTATTCCTAATTGCCAAAACCTAGAAGCAACCAAGATGTCCTTCAGTAGGTGAATGGATAAACAAACCGTGGTATATCCAGAGAATGGAATGTTATTTAGCACTGAAAAGAAATGAACTATCCAAACCATGAAAAAACATGGAGGAAACATACATACTACTAAGTGAAAGAAACCACTATGAGAATGGGATATAGTGTCTTGACTCCCAACTCTGTGACATTCTGCAAAAGGCAAAACTTGAGTAAAAAGATCAGTGGTTGCCAGGGGTTAGGGGGAAAAGGGGGGTGAATAGGCAAAGATTTTAGGAGGCAGTGAAACTATCTTGTATGATACTATAATGGTGAATAAGTATCATTATACATTTGTCTAAACCCACATTATATATAAAACTAAGAGTGAACCCTAATGTAAACTATGACTTGTGGTGATAATGATGTAGGTTCATTAACTGTAACAAACATGTCCCTCTGGTGCACTCAGTTTTGCTGTGAACCTAAAACTGCTCTAAAAAAAAATAAGTCTATTTAGGGGCACCTGGGTGGCTCAGTTGGCTGAGCAGTCAACTCTTTGTTTCGGCTTAGGTCATGATCTCAGGGTCCTGGGATAGAACCCTGTGTCAGGCACTGCACTCAGCAGGGAGTCTGCTTCAGGATTCTCTCTCCCTCTGCCCATCCCCACCCCCACTTTCTCTCTAAAATAAATACATAAATCTTAAAAATAAAAAGTCTATTAAAAAAAAGGATCCAGGACTGGTTTTGAAAATTCCCAGATCTAAGGTATATATGGGAACTTAGTTTGGTCACAAAGATGGCACTGCCTATCTGCGGAGATATATGTAACATAGTAACTGACAAAGAATTAGTATCCGGAATATATAAAGATCTCCTACAAATCAATAATTAAAAAAAAAACAAAAAATCTATAAAAAAAGAACCAAATGGCAAAAATCTATGTGAAACAACCTCAATCTCTGTAGTAATCACTGAAATCCAACGTAAAACAATATCATTTTATAAACAAGAGTATTTCCTCTTGGGCCTTTATTACTCATTTTCTTACATGTGTAGTTTGCTTATGCTATAAATACTTTCGTATTTTGTTCTTTTCACTTATAATAAGCATTTCCTATTGTAAACATTTTTATGGCTTCAAAATATTCCGTCATGTGGACAAACTGCAATTTAACCATTTCCACACTGAGATTGGATTGACAAAACAATAAAAGCAGAATTTGCAGGATAAAGTTACCATTTAAGAAGTGCCCTATACAAACATGGTGTTTAAATAGTACAGAATCAGCTGTGCTCTGTTCTCATCTGCATTTTTAAATAAGTACTGACCAGACTATACTAGAAAAGTTTACTTCCTTAAAGAAGAGAAAAAGCTCCATGTCAGTGCCTTACTTTTCTATTCATTTTCAAGATCTTTTTAAAATCTCATAAAATACGTTAAAAAAAAGACAATAGTTAATTTTTAGTTTTAGTTTTTATACAATGAAAGGATGTCACTTGGTAGAACTGTATTATTCTTGGTAACACAGTTTAAAATGTGTTTACTAAAATTGTATGAAGAACAGAATATTCTAATTAAATATTCTGATTAATTCTGAGTTGCCGTGTGACACTTTAAATAGATGATAAATTTTCAAAGAATTAGAATATGAGAATGAAAACAAAATAACTTTTATGAAATTATACCACCTTTTAAACTATAACTTTTATGATTCAGGAATATTTCCTACTGCTTTCCTGTTCATCATAAGCATTAGTTTGTTAGCAAATAGCCATTTCACCCTCTTGACAGCTGAATTTCCCCCTTTGTAGGATGCTCTCAGCCCTGCTGTGCCTTTTCTGATAGCTCCATAAGCAGCCTTCTATTATATAGTCATTTTGTAAGCCTATTTCTTTCATTGGATTGAAGGTTTCTGTATGACACAAACCTGGTGTTTGCAACCCACATAATGAGCATTCAATATACATTTTTATATTTCAATTAATTCCCCCCAAAATAGAGGAGGGATAAAACAAATATTTGTAGCAATTCTTAATTGCTGTTTCATTTCACAAAACAAAAAAGAAAATAAAAACAGATATCTAATCTTTGATGAAAAATTTACTGAATGCTTACTTTGTGGCAAATACTAAGTGCTTATAACATTCTCAAAATTTTCAAAACAATCAAGGAGATAGGTGGTATTATATTTACAGAGAGAACTGACAGGGAATAAATCATGTATTCAAATACTTGCTAAGCACCTAACATCCTGGGCACTGAACTAGCACTAGTGATATAGCAGAGAACAGACTCTGCCTTTTGTGGAACTTGCTGAAATTGCATACAAAATGTATCAGCATTCTAGATTTATATATAACTTTATATATATTATGAGCTTGGAAATGGGAGTTCATCCCTGAAATGGATCCATACTTAGGACTGACAAAAAACAGAGATTGAAAAGTTGAAGCTCAGACTCTGATGACCTCTTCAAGGTAAGAGGGACCCCCCTGAAAGATCACTCTGCCTTTGCTGACAGCACCAACCTTGTGAGAATCTGATCTTCGGGTTTACAGAATATATTCTCAAGAGAAGATTTATAAAGTAATAAAAGGAACTGGGTAGAATTAAAATACTACGCGATTAAAGAAATAAGAGTTAAGACTTTCACCTTTTTAAACTAGGTATTTTTCTATCTTGCATATAAACCTCAGGTAAGAACAGGGTGAAGCCACAGTAGAACAGAAGTCTGAACACAGAATGGACTTTGGCCTCCTGGCCTCTAAGTGGGGTACAAAGGTCCAGGGGAAGGAAGGATAAGACTTCCAGGTACCATCACAAGTCATGCAGCAAAGCTGTGAACCCTAGCTGCTATGCCATTTTGAATTTTATTTACCTCTCTCTCTCGAGACACCCAGTTCAAAAACGCAAACCCCTCCCACCAAAGAGAAAGAGAAAGAAGTTTCAGGTCTGAAATATCAAATTTGCATCAGACACTTCCTGTTAAACACCGAAGCTGCTGAAGTTGACTCAGAGCTCCTCTCACCAGGCCAGTGCAACCTACTCAGTAAACTTCAAGATCTTCACAACTAATCTCCAAGGCCCCAAAGTTTCAAATAAAACCAAAAGTGAACACAGAAAGTGAACAAGAGAAGTTTTAGAAGCTACTTTCTAATTCTGGGTGGGCAGAAAATTGCCTTTTACTCTAAAGTTAACATAGAACACTTTTCTCATCTACCACAGTATGATCTAGGAAATCTGAGGCAAAGGCACCAAACTATTTCCAAATGCAATGACTTGCAAACAGAGGCTGACCATGGCTCTGTGTCCCCTGAAATCTACTCAAACATGCCTAGGGAAGGGAGACCAACACAGCACTCAACACACACAACAGTACCTATGTGACATTAGGAACCTTTTATTGAGACAAAGCAAACAGTGGCCTGAAAATACCACAACATGAAGGCAGGCTGAGGAAACCAATCTGATTTCTTTTTCCTCTATGGCGGCCCAAATGACGAACTAAAGACCCTCCAAGATTACTATTTATACTTAAGGCAATTTAAAAAGGTCTTAACCAAAAAGCCTGTACCTGGCATTCAAAAAAATACTTACATTTTTTGGATGGACTAAAGACCTAATTGGCTACAGAAAATCTGTACAGCAGGGACCTGTTTTCAGCAGGTAAGCCTATATACAAGTAAGAATCTCTTACTCTTGTAACACTGTCCTGTTTTAAGAGAAAATGTTTAACTCCCATGCCCTGCAGAGGTCTCTATGACCCCAGAGAAGCACAGACCTATCTCTATTAGAGAACTATTTACACTGCACTATAAATACATATACAACACACATCTGCCCCCTCCTATTTCCCAAATAGGCACTGAATGCCTTCTGTGAGGGGTTATGGCTCATTCATTTTTATATCTACAGTGACAGTAGGCACCCAACATTTTTTCTTTTTGCATGAATGCTAAATGAAAATGATTTTACAACACCACTACTGGTTACATTTCAAACATTCCCACCATTACCCATCTCCATAACAAAAACACTAAATTGCTACTAAGTTTACTATGTTTTTCACAATATAGTGCTTCAGGACTTTTTAATGTAAATAAACATTTGTGATTAACTAATTTTCAAAATAATGATACAAATTCAGCATTCTTCTTGGAATGAAAAATTTGCTTGGAGATTACTTCATTCTTTTTCTCTTTTTCAAAAGTGCATCTCGTAGTGCCAGCTGGAACATAAGAAAAAATAATTAAACATGGGAATTCTTGGGTACCCCATTATACTAATTTGGTTATATGGCAGTGTAACAGACTGGAATCACTAAATCAACAAATCATCCTGAGATAATTGTGTGTCTTCGGTGTGTGATGGATACTATTCCATGAATTCCCAAGCACCATTGAGTCCTAGTAATTTTTTAAGATCCCTAGCTTTTGAATTTTAACAATATAGTTATGTGTTTTTATGTTTGCTTTGTTAAAGAATTTTTGGGGGTGGGATTGCCTGACTCTGTATCTAAATGTTCAAATTTTTTGGATTTTATGATTTTTAAGTTATTGACTCCTTGCCTTTATTCATATCTGGGTCTTGGTATGTCTTTGTAGATGGGCGGAATAGCTAAGGATAGACACTTAAGGTAAAAAAATTAACAAGTTCATTTTAACCTAATTTGTATGGCTGAGGAGGTATTTCTCAGACTCATCTGTGCCTTATTTTCTCACCTGTAAAATATAAAATCACAGTACCTGCTCATATTGTTGTATACTAAGTTAGTTAAAAAATGGAAAGCTCTAGAATAATCAAGGCACAGGGTAAGAACTATGTTAGATAATGATGTTATAACCCAAGGTTAAGTAAATGTCATTCTGCTCATTAAACTTTGTAGTAAGCACTAGTCTCACACATATCTCAGTTCCCTTCTCCCTTCAACTGCCACCGTTTGAACATAAGGAACTTGTATATTCTCCTTCCTCTTCCTTTATACCTTTCTAAAGGCCTCACTGCAAGATCCTCCTCTCTCTGCCATAAGCTTTACCTTCCTTTTCTAGTCTCACCTTTTTACATATTCTTTTTTTAAAAAATTAAGATTTACTTATTTATTTAAGAGAGAGAGCACATGCATAAGCAGGGGGAATGGCAGGCAGAAGCAGAGGGAGAAGCAGGCTCCCTGAGGAGCAGGGAGCCCAATGCTGGGCTCCATCCCAGGGCCCTGGGATCATGACCTGAGCCGAAGGCAGATGCTTAACCGACTGTGCCACCCAGGTGCCCCACCTTCTTATATATCCTCTGAGTATACTCTAAAAATGTACAGTAAGACTTTAAGCCATGTAAGACCCTTTTATTTAGGACAATAAAATATCACTGAGAGGTAGAGGGTATAAAATGTGATGCTCCATGGGGCGCCTGGGTGGCTCAGTTGGTTGAGCAACTGCCTTCGGCTCAGGTCATGATCCTGGAGTCCCGGGATTGAGTCCCGCGTCGGGCTCCCTGCTCAGCGGGGAGTCTGCTTCTCCCTCTGACCCTCCCCCCTCTCATGTGCTCTCTCTCTCACTCTCTCTCAAATAAATAAATAAAATCTTTAAAAAAAATAAATAAAATGTGATGCTCCTTTTCCAGAGGGTGCTTCGGGTGTGTGAGATAATAGAAAATATATACTGGTCTCTAGCCCTGGTTCCTGGCACAGAGCTCCTAAAACTGGTAATTTCCTAAGTGATAAGGGTATCTCCTTTTAATATTTGTCTTTGACCTGGTCCCTGACACAGGGATCCCAAAACCCTTATAAATTCCTAAGTGATAAGAGCACTAGGAGCATCTTTTGTACTAATGAGGCAACTAAGTGGGCTCCTGGAGAGGGGCTGATCCAAGAAAGACCTTGGAATTTTTGGCAGCCCTCACCCCCAACCCACACACCTTTCCAGAGAGGGGAAAGAGGCTGGAAATGGAATAATTGATCATGCCTATGTGATGAAGCCTTCAAAAAATCTCCTTAGTGTGAGGTTCTGAGAGCTTGCAGGTTAGCGAACACATCTGCACCAGGAGGGTGATGAATCCCACTTCTGTCCACAGGGACAGAAGCTTCTGCATTCAGGACCCTCCCAGACCTTGCCCTATGTATCTTTTCATCTGGCTGTTCATCTGTATCCTTTATCACATCCTTTAATAAACTGGTAACCTTAAGTAACCATTGCCCTGAGTCCTATAAGCAGTTGTAGCAAATTAAACCCAAGGAGAGGGTCACTGGTCAGAAACATAGGTTATCACCTGGGCTTGCGGCTGGTTTCTGAAGTGTGTGTGTTTGTGTGTTTTGGGGGAGGAGGGCTGCGGAAGGTGGCAGGTGCAGTCTCATGGGACTGAGCCCTTAACCTGTGGGATCTGACACTATCTCCAAGAAAACGTCAGAATTGAATTGTAGACACCCAGCCAGTATTATAGAAAATTGCTTGTGTAGGGACAAAACTCCACACACTGGGTGACCGTAAATGTCAGAAGTGAAGTGTAATGTGTGAGTAGCAAAAGAAATACACAAAAGGTAGGCTGAAATGGGTTTTTCTATTTTAGGATCACAGGTCAGTTTGGGGGATGCTCTGAAGTTGCACTGCCCAATCCAGTAGCCACTAGTTACATGTGGCTTTTGGATGTTTGAAAAATGGCTAGTCCAAACTGAGATGTGCCACAAGTATAAAACACACACTGGATTTCAATTAGTTCAAAAACAAGAAGGTACAGTATCGGGGTGCCTGGGTGGCTCAGTCAGTTAAGCGGCTGCCTTCGGCTCAGGTCATGATCCTGTGGTCCTGGGATCGAGCCCCACGTCCGGCTCCCTGCTCAGCGGAGAGCCTGCTTCTCCCTCTCCCTCTGCCTGCCACTCTGCCTACTTGTGCTATCTCTCTGTCAAATAAATAAATAAAATCTTTAAAAAAAAAAAAAAGAAGGTACGGTATCTCACTAATAACTTTTATATTGATTACATATTGAAATGATACTACTTTGGCTATATTAGGTTAAATAAGATATATTACTAAAATTAATTTTGCCTCTTTTTACTTTTTTATTTTAAAATTATTTATGTGGTTTGTATTGAATTTCTATTGGGGAGTGCTGGTCTAGAGTGAAGAAGAGAATTAAGAGAAAATTAGGAACCCAGAGTCAAGTTTTATAATGGAGACATCTTGAAAAACTACAGGACAAGGATACATAAATAGAAATTCTGATTAATTTCAGGTTCCAAATGGCAAGGAAACTGGAAAACAAGGGAAAGACATTCTTGAACCAACAAGTCCAATGTCCAATGAACTCAACTCTTACTTTTATTTTATAATTTTTTTTTAAGATTTTGTTTATTTATTTGATAGAGAGAGACACAGCGAGAGAGGGAACACAAGTGGGAGAGGGAGAAGCAGGCTTCCTGTGGAGCAGGGAGCCCGATGTGGGGCTCGATCCCAGGACCCCAGGATCATGACCTGAACCGAAGGCAGACGCTTAACGACTGAGCCGCCCAGGCGCCACCAACTCTTACTTTTAAATAAAAAATTCTTTCATCTCATGACTCAAGAGGTGCTGGCCAGGAACAAAGCAAGGCTTCCAAATCATGCCAAAAAAATCTCACTAAAACAACAGAGGAAGCAGGGAGTGGGGGAACATCCAAGGTCACAAAATGTAGCAAGGTCACAAAAACCTCATAATGAAAGAAGGAACAAACCATGGTGCAACTCAGTGGTTACTGTTCTTCAACCGTACAATCTTATAAAGGTCTGCTGAAGGATAAGCTAATAGATGAATCAATTCAACTGTGAATTTAAATTGAATTGGCAAAATTCAGATATTTATTTATTAACATTTATTTACTTAGAGAGGGAGAGTGAGAGCAGGAGGAAAAGGCAGAGGGAAGAGAGAGAATCCCAAGTAGACTCCCTGCTGAGCGCATGGAGCTCGATCTCATGACCCTGAGATCCAGAGTCAGATGCCTAACTGAAAGCCAGCTGGCATCCCAAAATTCAGATATTTGAAATCCGAAATGGCACCTTTCTTTTCACCTCAATTTTAACAACCTCTATTCAAGATGCTGTCACTTTATTATTTACATAATGTTGTTGGACATAGTTTAGAACCAGAGAAATGAAATAAGCAGATAGGTAGATTTTATTTTATTTTTTTATTTTTTAAATACTTATGTATTTGAGAGAGAGAGCAAGCGAGCAAGCACATGCAGGGGGAGCAGTAGAGGGAGAGGGACAAGCAGACTCCCCACTGAGCAGGGAGCCTGACACAGGGCTCAATTGTAGGACCCCAGGATCATGACCTGGGCCGAAGGCAGATACTTAACCGAATGAGCCACCAAGGCACCGCAGGTAGATTTTAAATGGCACCTTAATTCAGTTAATGCTGCCTTGGTGCCCCCATAGATGGAACACTGCCCTAGAAATCTGGCCATTAACATTCCGGCCTGGCAGACTTATCTTGGCTAGCAATTTAGGAACACTGGTTTACTCCTGACTTGATTTCCTGGCGATCCTTCAGAATACATTTAGAAATACTCTGGTACATTCCTCGTAGAGAAAGATATGAAAACATGAATTTGTTTTATTATAATAAATTACTAAAATAAGTAAGCCTACTGGGCAGCACCAGACTACACAGCAAAGACTATAAACAGATAAAATGAAATCCTCAAAACCTGTAAACATAAAAGCTTTGCAAAAGGGCACATAAGGAAGGATCAAGATACTGTATTTCACAGATGCAATGCTGAGAATGTTCGTATAGGGATAACCTTACAGACCATCTAGCTTACACTTCTTTCATTATACAGGAAGAAAATGGACTCCCCTTTGGTCACACAGGTGAATCTCAACCAAGTCAGGTGTAGGATTTACATGTCCTGACCACTTCCTACCTCTCCATGCTCTCCAATACTCCCCATTAATCCTAAGACACTCATAACACAAGGTCCTAAAGGCACAACTGTCTCAAGAGTAAAGATGTCTTAAAATGACAACAGTATTCTAACCAATCAAGCTTCATTGAACTCACCTGCTTTTCTCGGAAGGAACGCTTGTTTTTTGACCGGACATTATGGCTATATCGCATCATCATAAAGTTCTTCTGTTTTTTCTTCTCTTTATTTGTGGAACTGGAAAATGGGTTCATTTTGGTTTTCTTCCTCACAAATTCTTTTCGGTCTGTCTTTCCAGCCTATTAGCACACACACAAAAACACTTTAAGAGTTATCTAATCCACATATGTGTCTCCTCTATGCCAGGCACTCTACTGGATGCCAAGGACAAAAAGATGGATGGAACTCAGTCCTTGCTCCCCAGTAACTCACTCCAGGGGAGAAATGACCATGATATATTGTGATGGAGCAAGGGAAGCTCAGTGGAAGAAAAGGGCCTAACTCAGCCAGTCAGATCAGAGGAGCTGTTTTTGGCAGGATGAAGGCACTCACGGTGGGAGAAAGGAGGGGAAGGGTAGAGCATTTCAGGAAGTACAGATAGAATATGAGAAGGTGGAGAAGAAAGAACCTGGATCTTTAAACTTATCTAAACAGGTTTCAGTACAAATGGAATGCAGAGGGTATCGTGGAACCAGCATGAGATGGTGCCTAAAACAAATAAAGGTGTAGAAAATAAAACTGAAAAGGTAGGCGGTTGGAAAGGCTGGAGATGTGCAATCACATACAGCCCACAGCACCTGCCAGAGGCTATTCTTTAATGACCGTAAACATTTCCCTGCTTTCCTAAGAGCTCGGATAAATGCACTGAGCCTCCCAGATACGAGAACAGGTGCTAATGCCTTTCTGTGTTCTCCATCTTGTTCTGGCTGTTGCTTACATGGCTATCTAGTTGTTAAAACTCATCTAACAGAACATCTAATATCTGTGCATTTTATTCTATGGTAATTATACCTTTATTTAAAACATCAAAATAAAAGTCTGCCATTCTGTGGCTATTCATTTTATTTCATTTTTAATCTTATTTGCTTTCTGTTTGAAGAACCAGGGAATGATATGCTTCACTTACCATTGCCGTTGCTAGTCTTGTCTCCTTGTCAGACTTTGGCTTCTTATGAAGGCGTTCAATGTCCCGAAGAGAAAGTAACTCACCCCTGGGGTAAAGAACAAATATAATATGAAGCCAGGGTGGAGGTCCTTTCCCTAATACTTTCATCACCACGTGAGCTGACTGAAGAAGCCCCGAAGAATGTGTTTTACCTGGGCTCCTCATCACTATCGATTTCAATATATTTCCTCTTTTGGGCTTTCCCTGGGGCAGCGTTGAGTTCTTTCCTCATTTGGGCCATGCGGATTTTCTGGAAGTCTTCCTGAGTTAAAACTCGGCTTGTGCTAATGGCTGCAGCTTTGGCTTTCCGCTCCTCCATGGGCATGCTATTGAGCTTCTTGGACTTGAAAGTACACAACAGAGGTTTAAAGAGCTACTAGCTCAAGTGAAAGCTAACACTATAAGTCTCCCCACAAGGCCCAGCGTGAATTAGGTCTTAATAAACATCAGAGTGATGCACCTGTACAAGGAAATTTCAGGACTTACTATTTTTTGCTGTTCTTCATCAGAAGAGTGGTGCACATTAACCCACTCACCATCGGCATCTGCCTCCTCACTGAGACTGGTACTTTCCCACCCATCTGTGAAAAACAAGACACTCTTAGTGCTGTCACTTTATGTTGTGTACTCACGGTAAGTTGAAATAAATCAAGCAAAAGTCAGTGGAGCTCTACGGACTAATACTTGAGCGATATTTATTGTTAAATAAACCACACCAATGGGAAATACGCACGACCATGTATCTACCGTGAGCTAAACCTTATAATCACTTTCTTTAACTTTCACGACTCAAAAGAAGAGGAAGAGACCCTATAAGTTAAGATACCTATCCCAAGCCACACTGCTAGAAAATGTGGCCTACAGTGAAATTATAAAAATCGTGTCTGATTCTAGAGCCCATGTTCTTTCCACCAAACCATGTCCATCAAAACAGCACCTGGACATTATCTTGGCCACACAGCGAGGGTCTGACAACTTGTGTAAGCATATTTATACATGTTTTTTGGAATTAGTTAAAAACAGTCATTCAGAGAACTGAAGTCGAAGATTCTGGATGTGAAAGAACCTTGTAAATACCTCAATGAAGAGGCGTTAGTTCTTAACGGAGTCACCACAATAAGCTTTCAAAATCACAGATACTTGCAATTTTTCAGTTCCCCATAAGAAAGTGTTTCAGCTTTTTTGGTATGGCATAAACACAACGACTTCTGCTGAGGCCTCAACTCTATCTCTAGTCTGGTATCTTGCTGTGTTCCACCCTATATCCTACATTGTAATAGTTTCTTAAATCCTTCAGGGCTTTGCTCATAGTTTGCCTGGAAAATCCCCACTATTCTATCATTCCTCGCTTATTATTCAAGATACAGCTCAGGGGTCAGCATCTCTCTGAGGCCTTTTTTTTTTTTTTTTTTTAAGATTTTATTTATTTGACAGAGACACAGAGAGAGAGGGAACACAAGCAGGGGGAGTGGGAGAGGGAGAAGCAGGATTCCCGCCGAGCAGACAGCCCGATGTGGGGCTCGATCCCAGGACCCTGGGATCATGACCTGAGCCACAGGCAGACGCTTAACGACTGAGCCACCCAGGCGCCCCCTCCTTTTTTTTTTTTAAAGATTTATTTATTTGAGAGAGAGAGTGCGAGCACTCGAGCAGGTGGAGGGACAGAGAGGGAAACAAGGAGACTCCCCACTGACTGGGGAGCCTGAGATCATGACCTGAGCTAAAACCAAGAGTCAGATGCTTAACTCATTAAGACACCCAGGTGCCTCCCTTTCTCCCTTTGAGGCCTTTTTTGAACCTCTGAGGTAGACCTGACTTCTCTCCTGCCCTCAGGCCCCATTTCAATCATAAATCTCGGAAACATTTTATTGCTGAGCTATTTATAAAAGATCTTCAAGGACAGGCACCATACCATTCATCTTTACATTGACAGTGGCTAGCTCACAGGTAATGCTTTAAAAAGTTTTGCTGTTATGATGAATTAATTAATATGAAGAAGATAGGACTCTAACAATCAAGGTAATAAAGGCTAACCATGGAAATCAGAATGGAGTTTTCTCAAGTATTCTTCAATAATGTTCAACAAGTGTTCTCCTTCAACAAGGATTATCTTGGAGGATTGCTCAGGACTAATCCTCATCATTTTTTCTAGACAATGAACAAAAAACTATTATTTTTTCCCAAGTGGCCAGCATGCTCTTGATAAGGGGCAGCTGTCCTGAGGACATGACATCTACACTACACTGCAAGTTCCCTAAGAGCAGGAACCATGCCCATTTTGATTCTCAATGTCTGTTAACAGTGCTTGGCACATAGTCCTTGCTCAATAAATATGTCAAATGAATGTTCAATCAGCATGAAGATTTCAAGGTCAACACAGTAAAGGAGTGATTTTATCTTGAATAATGGTGAAATGAAAATGAACCTTCATCGTTTTCTGCATCCTCTTCTTTTTCAACTTCTAGAACTTCTGCTCCTGGAATGTAATCTTTAGTATCTAATTCTCCATATTCTTGCACTCTTGCTTCTATGGAGGCCTCTGTAGGCTTACCCTAAAGGAAAGAACACTGTTTTGTTTTAAGATTTATTTATTTGAGAGAGAGCTCATGTGTGCTCATGCAAGTGGGGGGAGAGGCAGAGGGAGAGAATCTCAGACTCCCTGCTGAGCATGGAGCCCCACAAGGGGCTCGAGCTCATGACCCTGAGATCACGACCTGAGCCAAAATAAAGAGTTGGACGCTTAACCAACTGAGCCACCCAGGCGCCTCCCCCAACGCCCAACACTTTTTAGTAGGGTTCTTAGACTGCATTATTCATGAAAAGGATGAGGTCTCGAGGCACCTGGGTAGCTCAGTCGGTTAAGCATCCCACTCTTGATCTCAGCTCAGTATCGATCTTAGGGTTGTGAGTTCAAGCCTCATATATGAGTTTAAGCCTCAAAAAAAAAAAAGGATTCTCTAAGATTATGAATATAGAAGGGAGAATCATGAACAATGGAAGTAATCAAATGACAAAAACAGTCCACTTATGCCTTGGGTCAAAGTAAATCCCTCAGCCAGAATTCTGCCTATTTTCTTGCTCTCCTCTGATCTGGATCAGGAAACTGGCAGTTAATAGAGAACTGTTCCAATTCTCAAGTCATGAGATCATCACCTCTTTCTGTTACATACACACATTTCTCTTCCTTCCCAATTCCAAAGAGGTGCTATCTGGCTGGGGAACAGCCTGTTCGATACTGGCATCAGTTACTGACTGATCTCTGAAATTCCAATCTGTTAACGATGTCAAAAGCTTTCAGGATGAAACAGCCTGACAGGTCTATAAGACTCAGTCAGCATCAAAGAGCATGTGCCAACTACAAAATAGTTAAGGCAATGGTATTCAATTCAACTGTATTCTGAGAATAAAATTGCCAATACTCATAGTGGAAGCTTCATAAACACTAAAACTCATACTGTAGGAAGTTATTCTCACCTTCTGAGACTGTAACTTTTGGATCAACATATGCATGTTTCACCTACCCGGAATTTCTTCTGCAACATCTTAGGATTCATTGTTCGGAAGAGCTGAATCAAAGTTCTAGCAGACATCATCACATCTGTAAAATAACACCTTTAATTAGGAACTCCAGAGCAAAGAGTCTATTGAGAAAAGAGAGTCACTTGATATTCTTTGATCTACAGAGAATAACATGCATCTTACTCTTATCTCTGTGTGTTTTATACTGAGCCAGGTCTTGGAGAAGTTCTTCAGTCATGGCTAGAGGACATCGAGCTGTTATCTCTTTTATAGCATTGATTCTAGAAAAGGAAAATGAATTTAAAAAGCCCAAACAGCAATCTCAGATAGTTCAATCTAAGGAGGTTTCCTAAAAAGACTAAATCAAAAGGTATATAAATTGGGGACTTCCAGGGTCAACAGTCCTTTAAAAAACATATCCACTGCCTCCAGGTATGTTCTACATACCCTACAGTCATGACCTCCCCAGAGTTCTTGTCGGTGACAAAATTGTTGGCCACAGTCATGAGCACTGACTGAATGATCTGAATTGGGAATAAAAGAAAAGAGATGAGTGCTGATAAAATGCCTCTACCTACTCAAACATGTGAGGATGAAGGGACAATAGACTATTCACAGTAAAACAGTCTTGCATTTTCAACATGGGAGTTGGAAGGAATCAAGACTGAGGAAGACACATAAAAAAACTTTCAGTCTTTCTGGCTATCCTTAGATTAAATTTTGCTCTTTTTTAGTATTATTTTTTAATATGGATTTAAAAAATTGCTTTGACTCAGGACCATCCAATGATTTTATTCTATTTTATTTATTTTTAAGTAGGCTCGACACCCAGCATGGAGCCCAGCACAGGGCTTGAACTCATGACCCTGAGATCAAGACCCAAGCTGAGATCAAGAGTTGGACGTTTAACCAACTGAGCCACCCAGGTGCCCCTCCCATGCTATTTTAATCAAATAAAGGAATTATCAGCGTTGAAAAATAATCACTATAAAAATTTACTGATACTCTTTTTTTTAAATTTACTGATATTCTTGTCTTCTCTGACAGAAGATTTAGCAATTAAAGTCAGAATTCTCAACAACTTATCTAAAACAAACTTTACTTTTCTATGGTAAAAAATTTTTTTTTCCAGTTTCTATAAACGTGTATGTCTATCTCCTTAAGAGTTAGTGTCTCTTCTTCTCATTTTGAAGAAAAGGGGGGCAGGGGGCAGTCATCCCTGTGGGAAAAGCTACCATGATATATTTAATAGTGGCACTGCTATGCAGACAGAGGTAAGGTTTAAGAGTTCTCACCTCCGGGGGTACTAAGTGATGAGATGCTTGGGCAGCAAACAGAAGGATCTTTGTTACTTCTAAAAATGTAAGAGATCAGAAAGATCATAGTCAGCTTACTGTTCTGTCTCTCAGGACTATAGCAAACATGGCAAGCACGTTCTCACCTTAAATGCTATTGCTGCTTACTCCAGCTGGAACACCCAACCCCCGGATCCCTGCCTGGCTCACTCCCTCACTTCCCTCGGGTCCCTGCTCAGCTGCTGCCTTTTCCAAATGTCTTTCCTGACATAATCTAAACTGGAACCTGCCCCAGCACTCTTTGTTCTTTATTCTTCCTTTTTCCTCAAAATACTTATCTTCACCTGGACACTGTATACACAGCATTCTCTGGATCTCCCTTCAGAATGTAAGCTCTATGAAGGTGAGGACATTCTTTATGTTCTCTGTGGAATTTTTAGCGACTAACTCAGTGTCCAGCCTAGAAAACACTAAGTAAGTGAATAACTACAAACGAATATATACACATGCTCTCCCTTCAAAGAAGCAGTGTATATTAGGAGCAAGACCTCTGGCAGAAGAAAAAAGTGAGGTGAATCCTAATTTCCATTTATTTGCTGAGTAACCCTGGTCTTTTTATTTCTACACCTCCCAGGACTGAAGTGAAGTTCTGATGAGATGATGTATGTAAAGCATTTAGCAGCACAGCACTTGGCTCATGTTAGATGTTCAACAAATGCTGGCTTCCTTCCTATCTTGGTTCAAGTTCAAAGGCAAAAGCAACCATCTCTTCTTTCCTGCTCTCATGTTGTTTTTAACTAAAAATACACATGAGGACAATGGTAACAGAAAGATAAAATTCTGATATCTATTACAGTTACAGTAGGTCAGACTCCATTTTTAGAACTTTCTACCTGTTTATAGTATTACAAAAAGACTTGCTTTGAGAATCCAGTCTTTTGTCTTCCAAAAATAACTATTTCTTAAAGTTGATAAGCAGAACATTTAACCCATAGCAGACTGGGGGAAAGAAAACATAAGGGTTTCTCTCCCCTTTTCTGAAACAGAGCACACTTTACTCCTAACTCTTGCCTTTAATAATTCCAGAACAAAAGGCATGGATGGTTATTCTAATCCAAGGTCACTGAAGAAACATGGCAAGTGGGAAGCTTACCTCTTTGGTGGGGCTGCAGAAACCTTTGCACAAATGGATAGAAGTTAAAGAGAAAAAGCTGTGGAAAGAAGAATGCACAGACTTTAATATTTATGTAACTGAAGCTACAGAGTTTTATTTCTCCCTAACACAATTTTATCACAAGCTCACCTAACTAGGGATCATCTTTTACTTTTGTTTTTTCTCAACAAGCATTCATGATTCAGTGTGCTATATTACCCAAGGAAAGGGAGGCTATACTGCTGCCATCCTCATTATGTTAAGGAAGAAGAAAGTACATGCAGAATAAACCAGGGGAAAAAAAGGCAACCAAAATGTAACATTCTTCTACTTTTAAAATCAGTGTGGCTGCAGAACTAACTTTTTTAAGTCTTCAAAGATAAACAGGATTATAGGAAGGGACAGCCATGATATTAAGGCTCCAAAGCAAGGGATAAAATAGTAAATCAAACCTGAATAACATCTGGTATAATTTAATCACCGAAACCCCCACAGTTCTCATTTTATTACTGGATACCAGTCCAATCACACTGGAGGAAGCTCTGTATTAGCTCAATATTACTCTGAGCACTCTAGAGTCTACCTAAATAAAGGTGACAGGGTCTAGTTATTAAAGCAAATGTATTTTTTTTTTAAATTGTAGTTGACATACAGTATTATATTAGTTTCAGGTGTCCAGCATAGTGATTTGACATTACTATACATTACAAAATGTTCACCAAAGCAGCTGTAATCTTTAACTACACAAAGAGAGAAACTTTGGAAATGGATTGGTCTTTCTCAAAGTTCACCATGTCAAAATAAATTAATTTTTTCTATTTAGCCACAAAGCAAAACCAGGACCAGGACCAGACAAGTAATACAGAAGACAGGTTCAGTACAAAGATGGATGCTCAGTTGTAGTCAGTTGTGAAACTCTAATATCATTTCTATCAAACAATGCTTAAATTACACATCACATCTGCTTTCCTGTCAAGCTCAAATTTGGGTCTGACATGAAATTTCTGCGCAAATTTAACATAAATTCATCTGGTAATCCTGCTGTAGGACTACAGCCCATGGAGAAAAGGCATTTTATTCATTAAGATGTTAAGTTTTTCTTAGAAAAAGGGAACAAGTGCTTTCATTATTCACATGTACTTTCATTTTTAACTGAATATTTGTTGACACTGCTAGATTTTCAGTAAACAAGACTATTTTACTTTTTTTCTTTAAATAAACTTTTTGAAGGGGGCACCTGGCTGGCTCAGTTGGAAGAGCGTGCAACTCTTGATCTCAGGGTCACAAGTTCAAGCCCCGTGTTGGGTGTGATTACATAAAAATAAGTAAACAAATAAAACTTTAAAAAATAAACTTTTTGAAGAAAGCAACACATTCAATGATGTACAGAACAGCAAGTCTCAAGAGCGAAATGATAGGGAACAACCTCAACGCCATTTCGTCATGGCCTAACTTTTTGGAAATCTCATTTTCTACAACGGCAGTTAAGTCTATTTAGTATGTGTTAAGTTTCCATACGTACGCACTTTACAGATATTCATATATGTATATAAAATACCACCAACGAGCTCCTAGAATTTAATCCAATATGAAATAAATGACCAGAGAATTCAGGTTTGCAAACACTGACAATCTCCTACCAGAGTGGTCTGGAAGCCAGGAAAGCTATAAAGGGATAAACAAACTGCAAAATGTAGTAATAGTCAATAAAAATACACAGGTTATGTTGACTCAGAAAAACAGAACACAAAATAGTCTGTCCACAAACTCAATATATGTATAATTTAACATCCATACTTACTGATAAGAAAACAAAGTGATAAAAATTGCTGTTTTGGGAGTGAAAGATTTTATTTTTCTATAAATTGTATGGGTTTAAATGGGTTTTGAGGGATAAAATCAAGCCACTGTTCTACGTTAGTGGCTTTCCTTTTACCAAGAATAATTCTATTTCTAACATTCACCAAAAAGGGAAACATAATGTAATTCAAACCTCGTGAATTCCCACCAATCTGGAGATGAGGTTCATGAGCATCATTTTCACCTCAAACCTCTCCGTAGAGCTCTCTAGCTGCTTTAGTAGTTTTTCTGCAAAATCTGGAAAAGAGAAGATCAGAGAAGTACACTGTGAGTCCATGGTCTGTACACCACGATCTAACAGGTGTAGAGAAAGGCAGTTGTTAGATCAGTGACTGTGGTAGAGCTGTACCTGAAATCACTCTGCTGGTTAAGGATCCCCAAGATTTTTATTTATTTTTTTAAAGATTTTATTTATTTATTTTTTAGAGAGAGGGAGAATGAGTGGCGGGGGGGGAGATGGAGAAGCTGAGCAGAGAGCCCGACGTGGGACTCGATCCCGGGACCCTGGGATCATGACCTGAGCCGAAGGCAGACGCTTAACCAACTGAGCCACCCAGGCACCCTGGATCCCCAAGATTTTTATGACTGACTGTTTGATAGGAGCTCCACTTAACAGTTCTTGGAACCTTGCTTCCCAAAGTGTGGTCCACAGACCACCAGCAGCTGGTCCACCTGGTAGTTTGTTAGAAATATAGAATCTCGGGCCCTACCCTAGACCTACTAAATCAGAATCTGCACTGACAAAAGATTATCAATTTTTCATTTAGTCAAGCACAATATCCTACCACTACTGTTTGTTAAAGACATAAAGTAAAGAACTCTTCCACATTTTTCTTATTTTGCTGTGGACTGGGAATTACAACTTTAGAACATAATTCCTCAAGCTACAACCAGCTACTAACAACAATTACTGATTGTCTATTAAGTGCCAGGGATCTTATATTCCCTGGTAACAGGCAGAGGTAAGGCCAAAAAGGAACCTGGGAAGTTATAATTATAATACCTTGGGGATCATGAATCAAATGAATAGCTGAAAAATTAAAGACCTCTGGTTTTTTCTTCTTTTTTTGTTTCTGAAATAAAACGAGAAGAAAAACATTTATATTACACCACACTATTGTGGGAGAGAAACCTACAACAAATTTGTTTCAAAAGCCTTTCTTTCAACTAGAACTAAAGGTGGTTTTTGTCTTTTTACATTAAACCTCAGGAATGTTCCAGCAAATAGCACCTGTGAGACTTCAAAGAATTTAGAAATATAAACATTAAAAGACACAGAAGGGCCAAATTAATGAGTTTTCAGACTAACCATTATAAAATATAAAATGTATTTCATTGGTACACTCTTCTTAGAAGATAAATCTAGCAAAAATACCCTAGAGTATGAGCCATCTTGATCAGAACAAGTGAAAAGTGAGTTTAATCAAATTAATTTAATCAAGTCACAGATTTTGCTAGAGCTGAAAACATTTTGTCATCTAAAAAACCAGTACTTAAAAATTCATCACGCATTTCTAAGTCTCCCAAAAAATGCCAATTCTTTATTTCAAATTCTTAAAAGCTTTTCCTAAAAACCCCATATTCTATAGTCTAATGATTCCTACCTCATTTGCCAGGTTCAAGTCTCACCTTGAGCACTTTCATAGCCTTTTCCAACCTTTTCTTGTGTTTGGAGCTTTTCTTCCCTGTGGCATACTGCACTAGCAGGTCTCTTGCTGTTGGTCCTTCATCCTGAAGAAGAAACTACTTTGTAAACAAGGAAAATCTGCACAGAAGCAAATAGTAAGGCTTTCAAAGACTTCTTTGCATTTGTACTCTGCAACCACTATCAAAAAGGAGCATGACTTGGGGCGCCTGGGTGGCTCAGTTGGTTAGGCAGCTGCCTTCGGCTCAGGTCATGATCCCAGGGTCCTGGGATCGAGCCCCATGTCGGGCTCCCTGCTCAGCGGAGAGCCTGCTTCTCCCTCTCCCTCCGCCTGCCTCTCTGCCTACTTGTACTCTCTATCTCTCTGTCAAATAAATAAATAAAATCTTAAAAAAAAAATTAAAAAAAAAGGAGCATGACTTAAAATTCAATAAAAAATATTTGCCTATGTGTACAAACAGGTACATACATGGAGCACTGATTTTTGTTTTTATATTTTGCTTTTAATTTTTATCAAAGTATAAAATACAACGTTGTTTTTACTTGAGAAAAGAAACTGGAAACACTATCACTAGGAAAATGCTTAAACTATAATACATTCACATTCTGAAATATGTGGAGGTTAAAAGAATGAGATAATCTGTATGTACTAAATGCATTGGTATATCTATATATACAACACAAAGAAAGCAGGTTGCAAAATAATACACATACCATTTATATATATTTCAAAGATCTAATATACACATAACATATACACATCCACATATAAATGCATGGGAAAGCAAATGGTTATCTGTGAAGATGAACAGGGAAGTAGAAATAAGACAGGATCAAGAACTTTTATCTATAGTATCTATAATTTTTTATAATAAGAATATATCATTCACATTATTTAATAACAAAATGAATTAAAAGATCTTATTACATATTCTCATATTCTTGTTACCACAATGCTAATATGAGAAAGGATATTTTTTCTTAGAATTTCTTTTTGATTTTACTAAAAAGTATTTTTTAATAAAGAAAATTTCATGACATCATAAATCTTCATTTTGCCTTTTTAAAAGAGGTCACAATATTATTCCTCTCCTTCCCTAAACACTCTACGATATTGACCTCATCTCAAAAAATATACTGGCAGCAATTTTCACTCTAAGTTTATATAATGAGTTCAAGGCATAGCTTTAAAACTAAGAACAAGGCTAAATGAATTTAACTTTTATTAGTTCTTTAACCAATCTTAGTGAACATAAGTGACAAATTCTAAATAGTATAAAATCTCAGCATGCAGAACACAATAAAGGATAAAGATAACATGTAAGTGTCTTTCTGACTTGAGCAGTCATGCATTTTACAATTTGTACTGAGAGCAATAAAGAAATATGATAGACTACTATAAAGTTCAGAAGCATCTATGGTTGAATGTATAACCTCAGATTCTGAGTCGCTGTCCTGTTTCTCCTCTTCATCTTTCCCAAGGAAAAATGTCAAAGCAGCAACTAATATCTAAAGACCAATCAGAACAAGTAAATTACTCACTCCAGCTTATAACAAAGAATAAATACTTTTGTTTACACATTATCCATGCACAGAACTGGGATCTGAAGGAACAATATCAGACTGATGGAATTTGGGCCCATTTTTCTCAATTAAAACATAATGTTGTTAACCATTATTTGTCCTAAAAGTATATATACTTTTAAAAAATTATCTTTAGATAAAAACAGCCAGGTTCTACATAGTTATCTTTTAGGTAGACTACCAGGAATTTCTATATCCCGCCCCCCCAAGAAAGTGACATTTTTGTCTTTGACTTTCTAAGAGAAAGTCAAACATGTTCTTAAATTTCTTTCAGCTGTGCTTGGGCCCAATAAAAGAGTCAAGAATTACAGGGGAAAACAAACACTAAGGCTATCATTTACTACAAAGCATTTAAAAAACTCCTAACTTTGTCTGCCTCCTCTAAAGCACAGATGAACCAGGGAAGCAGCCTAAACACAAAGAGAGCATTACTAAACATGAACTGCATGCCCATACAGTACCTCTTCCTCACATGCCCATCTCCTTGCTACTCACAGTGCCTTCACACAGCCCTACAGACACTCACCTTGGTGACCTTAGAGAAACATGCAGTTGTGATCACATTGACAGTTTTGGCATCATTCCTGGAGTAAGACAAATGAGTGCTTTCAAAGTAAATTTTCATTCTCTTGCATTTCATAGCACTGACAATGGCACAAAATAAACAATATATATTTCTGACATATTAGACTCCACAGTTTAAAAAGTTGTGGGTTGCAATAAATAATCATGGGTTGCCAAACAAAAAAAAAAATCATGGATTGCTAAATTGTCAACCCCAGTGAACATTTAATTAAACTTTATCCCAGTCTTATGTCAGAAAATTATGCAGCCATTTAATACGGATTTTTTTGAAGAATTTTTAATGACACAGGAACATACGCAAGAGAAATAAAATGAATAAAAACTTAATAGTACTGTAAAATTCCAACCATATTTAAAAATTCATGTTAAAGAGGGCGTCTGGGTGGCTCAGCTGGCTAAGTAGCCAGCTCTTATTTCAGCTCAGGTCATGATCTCAGGGTCCTGGAATCTAGCCCCGAGTGGGGCTTTGCACTAAGCGAGAGTCTGCTTGAGGATTTCTCTCCCTCTCCCTCTGCCCCTCCCCCTGCTGTGTGTGCACACGCTCTCTATAAAAAATGAATAAATCTTAAAAAAAATTCACGTTAAAGAAAAAACAGGAGAAAATATCATAAACTATTAACAGTGGATCACCTCTGGGTGGTGAAACTATCAAAAAAATTTTAAACAACCTTTTTAGCTCCTCCTAATTTTTTGTTGCAATGAATATTACTTTTTTTTTTTAAATATTTTATTTATTTATTTGACAGAGAGAGACACAGCGAGAGCAGGAACACAAGCAGGGGGAGTGGGAGCGGGAGAAGCAGGCTTCCCGCAGAGCAGGGAGCCCGATGTGGGACTCGATCCCAGGACCCTGGGATCATGACCTGAGCCGAAGGCAGATGCTTAACGACTGAGCCACCCAGGCGCCCTGAATATTACTTTTAGAGTGAAAAAAGACATGAATTGGGAGCAATGTACCAACAAACCAAAATTTACAGAGCCTGATACTTTACATACATGGGATAAACTGACTTGGAAATCCTCAGAGTGACAGAGCAGGAAGAGCATAAATTTCAGTCTGACATCTGGGTTTGAATTTCAGCTCTGCCCTTGACTAGCTACTAAGCTTACACTCTATGAACTTTAGTTTTGTTACCTATAAAATGGGGATAATTCCAGATAAGCTGCATTATGTTGTTCTAAAGGTTGAAAGAAATCATATGAGGTGTAGGTGGCTCAAGAAATGGTTGCCAATGTTATTAGTTATTTGGATTGCTATTTTTAAAAATTTCCAACTTAATCTATGACAGCGGTATACTTAAGAGTTCAAGATCAAGAAAAATATTTGTGTATGTACTCTGTAGTAATTATGAATAAATGAGAGTCTCCTTCTCAAGAGACAAATACATACCAGATGTTTCTTCTGTAGAGTTCAATCATCACATCCAAAGATATCTTGGCTGCAGTTGCATTGCTGTCTCTTAACATGGTGTACATGAAGTTCTGCAACACCTTAAGAAAAAGAGAAGAAAGAAGACTTAATATAATACACTGCTGGTATATAACGCAAACATGGGACACAAAAGGGTACTTACTATATTCACTTTATTGTTCTTGTGTTTTGCATTTATATTCTTGATATCAGTGACAATATGTGTGTATAAAGTCTAAGGAAAGGAAACAAAAACATACACATATTAACCAACATTTCTAACTTTGCTCAGTTTGGAGAAAAGTACAAATGCATGGAAGAATTTAATTTTACCTACTTTTCATTATATAAGACACCATAAACAAAACAAAAAGCAGCAGCTAAAATGCAAAAGGAAAGTTGTCCTAAAAAGATTAAACAAGGAGTTACCATATAACCCAACAATTCCAAGAAAAATGAGAATATATTTCCACATAAATATTCACAGCAGCATTATCCATAATAGCCAAAAAGTGGAAACAACCTAACTGTCCATTGATGAAAGGACAAACAAAATGTGGTATACCATACAACGGAATATTACTTGGCAACAAAAAGGAATGAAGTACTGAGACATTCACCAACATAGATGAACTATGAAAGCAGTATGCTAAGTGAAAGAAGCCAGACACAAATACTACGCATGTCGGGTGATTCCATTTATATGAAATACCGGCATAGGCAAATCTATAGAGACCAAAAGTAGATTGGTGGTTACCTAGGCCTGAGAGAGATGGGGAAATGGGGAGTGAATGCTAATGGGAATGGGGTTTCTTTTTGAGGGGGATAAAAATGTTCCAAAATTGATTGTAGTGATGGTTGCAAACTCTGTGAATATACTAAAAACCACTGAACTGTACACTTTCAATAGAGGAATTGTATGTGAATTATATCACGATGAAGTTATTTTTAAAAAGGAAAATTGCTCCATTTACTTGGCCCCTAACTACCACTGGTGCCCAAAATATGCTCGCATAGACAACTTTTATCTCACAGTTAGACCAAGAAGTACAATTGCTAAAATCAAATGGTGGCAGTCTCTTAACACTCAGAAAAAAAAAATTTTAAGTTAATAAATGTAAACTTAAATTTTTCTTTCTTAAATTTCTTTCACAAATCTTCAGCTCTGGTCTTACTTATACAAGCAAATACAAAGTCACAGGGAAATATTAATAACAAAAAAAGTGTTTTGGGAGATAGGGTGGGGGCTGTTATAGCTAGGAGTGTCCAGTCCATGCTCTGATTTGGCTCGTCAGTATAGTACAGTTGAAAAAGGCATGGGTTCTAGAGCCATACTGCCTGCCTGGGTTTATATTCCTGCCTCCCCACTAACATGGCCCATGATTCTGGGCATCTTACTCTACCTCTTTGTGCCTCAGCCTTTTCATTTGTAAAATAATAGTAATAATAAACTCAATCTCATTTTGTGAGTAAACAAATAAATATGTAAGAAGCTCTGAATGGTACCTGGCAAAAAGTAAGCACTCAATAAATGAAATCTATTAGCACCATATTGTATGCACACAAACGTTGATTTTTTTCCTATTAAAATTATTCTTAACTGTATCCAATAACGCGAAGTATCAAGAATTCAATCTACAAATTTAACATCACTGCAAGGAAAAATGAAATATAAGGGGGGAAAAGCAATTTTGCTCTTTACCTTTCGCAGAAGCTTATCATGGCAACGCAGAAGTTCAAAGAAGAGTTCTAGCAAACTTGATGGATCGATGAGATTCTTATTTCTCAGCAAAATCAAAGCTTTGCAAAATGTCTAAGGAAGGAAGAAAACATACTATATGATAATGATGAAATTAAGATGAGAAAAGGGAGAATGTACACCCCAAAAGAGCATGCTGTCTTCTACTAATTAGGCACTATTCTGGGCATTAGAACAGAACAGTCAGTCTCTGCCCTCATGGACCTACCACTGGGAGTGGGGCAGGAGAGCAGACAGAGGAGCAAGGAAGCACATAAACAGGTGTATCTCAGACAATGATATGTGTCATGAAAAAAAGTAAAACAGGATAATATAATTGATACACAGTGACTGAGGGAGGGCTACTTTACACATGGAGTTGAAGGAAGTGTCAAGATATAACAAACCCGGGGCACCTGGGTGGCTTAATCAGTTAGGCATCTGCCTTCGGCTCAAGTGATGATCTCAGGGTCCTGGGATTGAGCCCCGAATCAAGCTCCCTGCTCAGCGGGGAGTCTGCTTTTCCCTCTCCCTCTGACCCTCCTCCCTGCTTGTGCCCCCCCACTGTCTCAAAAAAAAAAAAAAAAAGATACGACAAACCCCTAGTGATCAATGAATGAACAAAGATAAAAAAGGTGGGGTAACAAGAACAGAATAAACTGGAATCATCGATCTGAATTTGTGACCTTACAAGGCATTCCTTGGAAGTACTGTTAGTACCAAGAATCAGCCAACAGCACTCATAGCACTCCAGCTTACCACCAACTTTCATGAGTAGCCTTATTGCCCAAGGTTTGGCTTCTACTACCGTTCTCCATTAATGGAACAAGTGATCCTTGGAGAATGGTTGATTCCAAGTCTTGGGACAGGAAAAGCAGTAAAAAAGGTTTTGGAATTATGTCTGCCAGAATATAAGGATGCTTTCAAAAATATCAGGGACTTTGCCAAAAGGACTGAAAAGCTCCCACTGGCCAGGTGATAACAATTTGAACAAAAAATAATAATGCTTAAAAAAAGAAATGAATACAAAGGACATAAAAAGCCGGAGGCACCTGGGTGGCTCAGTCATTATGAGTCTGCCTTGGGCTCAGGTCATGATCCCAGGGTCCTGGGATCGAGCCCCACATCGGGCTCTCTGCTCAGCGGGAAGCCTGCTTCTCCCTCTCCCACTCTCCCTGCTTGTGTTCCCTCTCTCTGTCAAATAAATAAATAAAATCTAACCCCCCCACACACACAAAGGACATAAAAAGGGGCGCCTAGGTGACACCGTTGGGTAAGTGTCTGACTCTTGGTTCTGGCTCAGGTTATGAACTCAGGATCATGAGATCGCGCCCTGCATGGGCTCCATACTCAGCATGGAGTCTGCTTAGGGTTTCTCTTTCCCTCTCCCTCTGTCCCTCCCCTCTGCACCACAAAATACATGGGTATTTTGTTTCTTCCATTAAGAAACACAGTCTGTTCTATCTAAATAGGAAAAAGTGAACAAAAACTTGGGAATGATTCAAAAAGTCCTGGGAAAATAACAAAACACTAGGCAGAAAAGTCCAACAGTGTGGTTATCACAATTGCCAATTAAAAAGAGGATCCACCAGTTTGTCTTAAATGAATCCTCTCAAGAGGAATGCTCTAAAAAGGATTGCTCAATCTTTTGTTTCCTAGGAAAAGAAATCTCCATTATTTTTTAAAAACCTATTAATCATCATAAAAAACTATAAAGAAACATACAGACATTTATTTATTTAACAATGCCTGTAGACTGGTTCGGTTGGGTACTGTTAGACACACAAAACTTAAAGGAAACCTAATTACTTGGAAAGACACTAAGTCTCTATACTCAAAATCTCAATCTGTATGACCTACAGGGACCTGAAAAGTTTCATAATATAAGTAAAAGTCCTTTGCCTAACAGTATGAGTTTGAAGTCTCTTGGGCTGTGCTGCCAGGTCCCATATCCCAACTGAAAGTCATTCACTTGACAACCCAGACCTTGAAACCCTGGCTTGAGATGATACCCTTTTTCTTTCGGGCCTAATCAAATCAATAAAATCCTAAAGAAGTATAAAAAGAGTAGAATTACAAAAAGCCTGGGAAAATGTGAGAAAAAGAAACAAAACTGAATCTATAGACCTAGCATTTTACAAGTTTTGGCATAAAATATTAATATGTTTTGTGATCATATTTGTGTCAGTTCTACCTGCTGTAGAGGTGTCTGAAAAGCAGATGTATGAAATCTGAAAATGACTTAGGCTGGGTTCCCCCAAGAAGCACAGCCCAATTCTATTACAGTGATTTGTCCAGGTCTCTTCTAGAAGTAAAGGAAGCAGGATAGGGCAGACAAAAGAAAAGCTGAGCAAGGATATGTCCTTGGCTGGAGACTAGTTCAGTCACACAGAAGCCCTGGAGCACATACTGCAACACAAAGTTGGACCCACACTGAGGGAAGAGGCTGGGCTTTTGTACCTCTGGTTTAGTCAGGTACCACCTGTAGGCTGAGAGAGCAACCTCCCATGTGCTACGGCTGTCATTTAGCTGGAGACAAGGCACTGGAAAAAGGATAGCTGGGGGCCAATAACAGCCGACATTCACCACAGGTGACGGAAATGGGTGCACGAGGCTGGCAAAGGGGCTCTCAGCCAGGACTGAGTATCAACCACTAAAGTGACAATATTTAAATGCTCAAACTGGCCAGTTAATGAATAAATTTATTAAATTAAGCATTACAGGAGTGCTCCTAATCAATTCTGGTTTGGCACTGCCCAATTTGAACTGAATTTTACTCAAACTCTTAAAATTTAAAAACAAATGAATAAATAAAACATTGTAAAAACTGTAAATTATAATTAGGGTTCTTAATGCATAAGAGACTTGAATGACTAGGACGCCTGGGTGGCTCAGTCAGTTAAGCGTCTGCCTTCAGCTCAGGTCATGATCCCAGGGTCCTGGGATCGAGTCCCACATCGGGATCCGTGCTCGGCAAGGAGGCTGCTTCTCCCTCTGCCTCTGCTGCTCCCCCTGCTTGTCCTCTCTCTCTCTCTCTGACAAATTTTTAAAAAATCTTTAAAAAAAAAAAAAAAGAGAGATTTGAAAGACTAAAAGAAATCATGTATTTAAAAGAGCACCCTGGCAGGGTTAGCATGCTGGAAGAACAGAAAGAGAGAGAGGGGGGTGTAGCAGAAAAGGAGATGAGGTCAAAAATACTGGTGGGGGCGCCTGGCTGGCTTAGTCGGTACAGCATGCAACTCTTGATCTCAGGGTTGTGAGTCTGGACCCCACATTGGGTGTAAAGATTACTTAAAAATAAAATCTTAAACCTCCCCCCCCCAAAAAAAACCCCCAAAACACTGGAAAGCAGATCACATAGGGACTTACAGGCCATGTAAGTATTGTAGAGTTTTACTCTAAGTATAAATGAGAAGCCACAGAAAGATTTTAAGGAACAGGTGACACATTCTGATTTACATTTTAAGAAGACGTTTAGCTGAGGCTATTCTCATTTAAACACATACGATTTGCACACATAAACACAGCACAATATATCAATCCAAATACTGGACCTACCATTCGAAGATCTGGATCCAAGACAGTGTGATTGTAGGAGAGAAGATCTTTCAGCTCTTGAGGAAAATTACTTAAATGATCTGGATAGCAGTGACCAATCTGTAACAAAGCAAAGGTTCTTCTGAAGTTTCTCTTTCTCTCCTATAATTCATATGCACATATTTATGATGCTCTGCAAAAGGAGAGTAAAAGGCTGTTTCATAGAAGTAGATGGTTTCATTTCTTTTTATTCTACATGCTACTTTTCTGACCTCTTTCATATTTCTTCTAACCTTAGTGAAATATGTGTGACATGAATTAGAATCTGCTCTTATGAATTTGACAAAAAACCAAACAGCCTGAAAGTTTTGCTTTGCTGGGTTCTGTGCAACACTCCAGCAAAATCTTCTAATTCAGCTTAGGGAGAAAATAAAATTTGCAAAAAAGGAAACCTAAAAAAATTTTTTTAAATTAAGTTTCCATTCTTGAATGGAATCAGGTTGGACAGTACTAGAAAAATATTCTGCAAACTATATAAAATAACTGGTCTTTGTTTTACTCAGAAATCATCTTACCTGTGCCATAAACATCACCAGCTCTGCCAGTTCTTTGCTAGGTTTGTTTGGTTGTAATTTGAAAATCTCCACATTGGATTTGTAGTGATTATACTGCTGTAGAAACTGTAGGAAAAGAAAATTTAAGTTGTCACCTTCTATTATATGACTTTCTCAGTAAAGAATGAGAAGTTACTTAGTAGACATCTCTGATAGTGGCACGGACAAACAGATATGGTAAAAGTGTGTAGAAATATCTTTTCCTTACCTGCATTCTTCAAAATAAGTTTTGAAAAATGTGAGTACATCATAGATAATCTAAAGACCCTTTCTTTTATCATTAGAAATGTAGGTGATGTGGTGTAAAGCACATTAAAGCAAGTGTCAAAAACTCAGATTCAATATATAGAGCACTCATAGCAGCAGAAAAATATAGGTCAGAAAAAGTAAATTATGTCGCAACTATATAAAACTCTCCAGTCAAAATTCCCCTTTTCCTTTAAATAATGATTAAGATTTTATCTTGGAGTTCTAGATAGGCTGTTTCAACAGCAAAAAGCAATACACAGAAATAATAATAGCTTCCACTTATTCAGCACTTGCTGTATGCCAAAGTCATTATGTACATTATCTCATTTAATTATATTTAATTCTAACAACAACCCAACAGTTTAATGTTGGAACTCACCAGCCCTCAGTTCCATGCCCTACATCTACTCTCCAGCCCTAGACCACAACTTTAAATTGGGTATGTATGAGAGAGACACTATGAGAACGAGTATTTCTTTTTTTTTTAAGATTTATTTTTAGAGATAAAGCGTGCGTGTGCACACGCTCATGAGTCAGGGGAGGGGCAGAGGGAGAGAGAATCCTCAAGCGAATCCCTCCTGAGAGGGGAGCCCATGACTGGGCTCCATCCCAGGACCCTGAGGTCATGACCTGAGCCAAAATCAAGTCAGTTGCTTAACTGAGCCACCCAGGCACCCTGAGAATGAGTATTTCTTTGTATTAGCAGCCGTAAGGGGCCCAGTTCTCTCCAAATTCATTATCTCCAATTGCCTGACACGTGTTTAGACATCTAATAGACATCTTTAACCTAGCATGATCAAAAAACATAACTTTTGATTTCCCCTAACAAAACTCTTAGGCCTCCAGCTTTCTCCAAGACCAGGAGTCAAGAAAAAGACCTACAGCCCCTACATGCTTCAGATAAGACCCTGCTCTCTTGACGCCATACCACCATTGACAGGAGTGAGGAGGGGGCCCCAGAATTCCGTGTGCTCCCGGCAATATCCTTATTTCACTTCTTTCCCCTTCCTATCCATGGCCCAGCCACCACTATCTCCCTTAGATCCTAAGAACTGGTATCATTACGCCCCTTATGTTCATCAGTCACGACAAACGTCCAGGACTCCCAGGTCATCCCTCATTCCCCTCTCTCCAAGCCCCAGACCAGCGGAATTAAGAACTCTTGGGCGGGGCAAGGGCATAATATTTTTTAAAGTACCCTAGCCATTCCAATGCTCTGATGGAAAACTGCTTCTCTCCTGACACACTGCTGCCCCGTTTTCTTCCGCTCAGGAAGCGTCCTCTTTCTTCCTCGGTGCTACTTCCAGAGAACTGGCATCCCTCCAGATTGGTACCTTTTTCTGCTCCTTAACTGTCCCCACTGCCAGCTTTGAATCTTATGTCTGGAGGTCCATTTCCGGCTCTCGGAAACAGACGTCGATGGAAGGCATTCTAACATACGACTCATCAAGTGTTACCGACTTATTCAACTTAGGGGTTTCTGAAAGCAAAAGGCTGAAAAATCTGCATGGAAGTTGGAGGTTGGGGGGGCATTTGTCCCTCCACCTCTATGAGGTCGTAAGATAAACGTTTAGAAAATCCAAACGGGCAGCAAATTTCCACGAGGCGGGGAACGAAACCAGAGGCATGTCCCTTCCTCAACTTCGTCTCTCCTCCCGAGGGATCCCTGAACCTAACCGGAGAACTTGGGGCGAGCCAGGACCCCAGTTCCATTCCACACCTTCCCCTGCCTGTGTCTCAACCAGTCGCGCCCCGGCCTCTAGCGGCGCCACGCAGCACTCCCACCTCCTCGACGTAGGCTGGCGAATCCCGCTTGATCAGATTCTGTAACTGGGGCAGGTTGCTGGGCAGCTTATTATTGTTTCTGTTAGACATGCTGGCTGCTGACGGGCTCCGCAGGGAACAGTTTTAAGAAACCCCACACCGCCGGCAACCACCAACCGTGTCGGCTGTGTGTGGGAATCAGGCTTCCGAGAATGACCGGAAACAGCACATGGGACTCTCGGGAGGCGGCACCATCTTGGCTCTTAAAAAAAAAAAAAAAAAAAAAAAACAGCGAGACTACGGAAGCCTCGGAGTGTCAAGTTTACTCCCACTGCCGAAATGCCAGTGGTGGTTTACGCGAGGTTTCGATTTTTTTTTGCCCCGCACACATTAGTTTATATCGTCATTCTGACACTCCTATGAAACAGATAAATAAGGATTAATCGTTTTTTAAATCCCACAGCCTAAGGACAGAAGCTTTTTCCTTTGGGAGTGGATAGCACTATCCTATTTTAGAGTGGGGGGAAAAAGCGATGAGGTGCGTGTTACTCTTTGCTATAACTTTAAATACCGTTTTTGTTTTGTTTTTGGGTGTTTCAACCCACAGTAACCCACTCAAGGGAAAGGGGTGTGGCCTGAATAAAATGTAATCATGCTGATTGATTTAAAATTGCAAATTGATTTGTATTTAAAGGACAACCATTGTTATAACCTTTATAGGTACTCTTCAGCCACAGTTTTAAATTCAGATGTTGGTTATTCGAAGAGAATACATTTCTACAATTTCACAGTGTGCAGAAATAAATATGAATGAATGAATTAATTAATTAATTAACGAGTTAGGGTGGTGTTAATACAAAAATACGCGCGTGATCATGCACTCTATGCCAGGCACTGTTTCAAGCATTTCACTTGCATTACTCATTTAATCCTCCGAAAAGCCCTCTGAATTAGGTACTATAATTATATGCACTTTACAGAGGAGGAAATAGGCTCAGACAAATTGACTGCCCAAATTCATAGCTGGTGTGGGAGCTGAGGGTTTCAGTCCAGGCAGTTTTGATTGTACCTAGATGAGAAAGAAAAGGAGACTCACAGCTGTCACCTAGTAACTGGTCTGGCATTAACAGAAGGGCTGTGGTATTCTTTGCTTAATGTAAACAATTTTAGGTGCACCTGGCTGGCTTAGTGGGCTAGAGCATAGCACTCTTGATCTCGGGGTTGTGAGTTCAAGCCCTACGTTGGCTATAGAGATTACTGAAATTACTAAAATAAATAAATAGTAATAATAATAAAAACAATTTCACAAAACAGTAACTTCATTTCAGTCCGGGTCATCACAGAACTGGACAGAATGAGCCCAAAACAAGATAACCCTGTAATCACACCCAAGGACAAACAAAATCAAGAATGTTGTACAAACCACCATTAATTTTCAACTATGTCTAGAAAATGGCTATTCTATTTATTGTTGAGTCAGGTGCTTGTGAAGTTATTAAGAAGCAAATGTAGGCAGTAAATATTTTTTTTTAAAAGCCTATTCAGAGGGGCATCTGGCTGGCTCATTCTGTAGAGCCGGGGATTCTTGATCTCAGGGTCATGAGTTCAAGGCCCATGCTGGGTGTAGAGATAACTTACATGAGTAACTAAATTTTAAAAAATTTAAAAAAACCTCCAGGCATAGATTTAAATTTTAAAAAATGTTTTTAACTAGGTTGTATTAGGAAAAAAAGTATCCTCAAAATGAAATATATTGAAAAATTTTTTGAAATTATTTGATAGAATTCCTGCCAAATCATAAGCTTATGTACTATGAAGATTTCATCACAAAGATATGAATAAAACACTCAGGCTATGTCACAAACTTTTATTTGCCCTCTGTACGTCAGGAACTAGGGTAGGTGCTAGGAATACAAAAATAAATAAGGCATGGGCATTTGCCTTCAGGGAGCTCACAGACTAAAAAGGGAGATAAATAGACAAGGACTTTTAAAATGGATAAAAATGTTCTTACAGTAGAGCAGTAGAAGCCATGGAAAGGACAACCCAGCCTAGAAGAACCAGAATATTTCATAGTTATGGTACTACTTGATAGAAATCCTGAAAGAAGAGGAGTTTTTCTGGAAAAGGGAAAGAAAGTCTTTTCACATAAAGAAAATAGCTTGTATAGAGGTATAAAGGCTTGAAAAAGTCTGGTGGATTTAAGGGATTGCTGGAAGTTTGGAGTGACTAAATGTTGGGAAGGGAGTGGGCAGCAGGGAAGGAGCTGAGAAAAATGAGTCAGCTGAGGTTATGGAGTCCTAATGATGAGAGGCTTTCTGTGCTCATCTAAGGAGGGCATGTAAGTCTGCTCAAGAGAAAACTAAGGCTGAGAGTGACTAACTGAATATGTATTTTTTTAAATTTATTTATTTTGACAGAGAAAGAGATGGAGAGAGAGAGCACAAGCAGGAGGAGAGGGAGAAGCCGACTCTCCACTGAGTAGGGAGCCCCATGCAGGGCTCAATCCCAGGACCCTGGGATCATGACCTGAGCCGAAGGCAAACGCTTAACAAACTGAGCCACCCAGGTGCCCCCCTGAATGTGTATTTTTAAAATATTAAACAATGGCTATATTGCATGTAACATAATCTACATATGTTTAACATGTATGAGCCAGATCAACACCAGGAAAACTCCATATTCATTTCTATATTTAGTCTTGAACTGGCAAAGAAACTTTTCATCTTTTTCTGATCTCCAAATAACTTTTAACCTGAAGTGAATTATTCTAAAAAGAAAATCTCCTTTATACCTTTGCAAAAGAGACCCTATAATAATTATAAAATGGATCGTATCATCTGAATTCAAATGGAGTAAAAATCTCTTTATTAAAGACGCCTAGACTAGGGGCTATTTTAAATTTTGATTGCATAAGAAGCACACTCTTCTTATATCTTTATTTGGGATGCCTTTTGGGGGGATATAATAGTCCAGACAATAGCATGAGCACCAGTTTTGAGCCATTAAATCTCTTCTAGTAGGAAGAAGGAAGGTGTTTCCAGAAGGGCAAAAGGGTACACCCCCCCAACTGAATTGGCCTTATAAAAGTTCCAAACAATGTAATACTAATGCATTTATCTCCTTGGTCAGAACTTAGTGAGATGGATAGCCCTACAAAGGAGTGTTTTGGTTGGGTACAATGAAGCTTTGAATAAAGGAAGGAGAGATTACGTTTGTTTTGAGGAATAAGGAAAGGTTTCATGAAGACAGGTGTACTTGAGATAGGTCTTGAAAGCCATGTAGTTTTGATATGCAGGGGGATACATAGAAGAACTCAACTGAGACAGGTAGTAACCTCCATAAGAGTTTATTAGTATCATCTATGTAAGAGAACTTTGTGACGTTCCTTAGGGAATATTTCCTTCTTTGTAAAAGGAAAATGTTGAACGAAGCCAATCTCATGCCAACCTCATGATTGGAGGTATGATCCATATGATGATTAACTGAAATTATCTGTTAAATTGATGCTAAATATATTCTCTTTATTTATTTAACCTTATATAAAACAATAATACCTGGGAATGATGGGTTTAATGTGCTGGTGATATTTTTTGAGCCCATCTAAGGTCAACACCTCTGATTCCAGATGAGATCCCATCCTTTATTTTTTTTTATGATCATGTATTTATGTATTTATGTATTATTTTACATTTTTATCTTTTTTTAAGATTTTTTATTTATTTATTTGACACACAGAGAGAGATAGCGAGAGAGAGAGATAGAGCACAAGCTGGGGGAGCGGCAGGCAGAGGGGAGAAGCAGGCTTCCTGCATGAGCAGGGAGCCCGATGTGGGGCTCGATCCCAGGACTCTGGAATCATGACCTGAGCTGAAGGCAGTGGTTTAACCAACTGAGCCACCCAGGCGCCTCACATTTTTATCTTTTTTTAAATTAACATATAATGTATTATTTGTTTCAGGGGCACAGGTCTTGATCATGTATTTATTTTACAGATTTATTAAGATGTAATTAGTCTGCAAGAAATTGGCCATAAAGTGTACATTTGATGAGTTTTGATATATGTATGCATCCACAAAACCATTATCACCATCAAGGTAATGAATATGTCCATTATACCCAAGTTTCCTTGTGCTCCATCATCCCCAAACATGCAGTTGCTTTCCGTCACCATAGATAAGATTGCATTTGCAGAAATGTTATACAAATGGAATCATATGTTATTCTTTTTTTTAAAGATTTTATTCATTTATTTGAGACAGGGAGGGAAAGAGAGAGAGTGAGCAGAAGTGAGGGAGAGGGGCAGAGTGAGGAGCAGACTCCCCACTGAGCAGAGAGCCCAAAGCAGGGCTCAATCCCAGGACCCTGGGATCATGACCTGAGCCAAAGGCAGTCGCTTAACTGACTGAGCCACCCAGGTGCCCCATACATTATTCTTTTGTGTCAGACTTCTTTCATTATATAATAATTTTTTTAATGAAAGATTTTTTTTTCTTTTTTAGATTTTATTTACTTGAGAGAGAGAGAGAGAAAGAATGAGCATAAGTAGGGGGAGTGGCAGACAGAGGGAGAGGTAGAAGTAGGCTCCCCGCTGAGCAGGGAGCTGGACATGGGGCTCGATCCCAAGACCCTGAGCCAAAGGCAGACACTAACTGACTGAGCCACCCAGGTGCCCCTAGCATAATAATTTTGAAGTGCATCCGTGTTGTGTATGTATATCAATAGTTCATTTCTTTTATTCTTTAGTAGTAGTCCATTATATGTATATAATGCAGTTTGTCCATTTACCTGTTGACTATTTGAATTGTTCCCAGATCAATATTTGTGTTCAAGTCTTTTTTTTTTAAGATTTTATTTTATTTATTTATTTGACAGAGTGAGAGAGAGACAGCGAGAGAGGGAACACAAGCGGGGGCAAGGGGGAATGGGAGAGGGAGAAGCAGGCCTCCCGCTGAGCAGGGAGCCCAACGCAGGGCTCGATCCCAGGATCCTGGGATCACGATCGGAGCCGAAGGCAGACGCCTAATGACTGAGCCACCTGGGCACCCCAGTGTTCAAGTCTTTATGTGGACATACGTTTTCATTTCTCTTGGTAAATGCCTAGGAGTGGATGGTTGGATCATATCAAAGGTTTTATTTAAGTTTTTAAGAAAGTGCCAACCAGTCCTTTGCTTCCACCATTCCACTAAAACTGTTTTTATCAAGATCACCAATCACCTTGATGTTGCT